CCTACAGACACAAGTGTCCAGCCATTTCGTGGGAGCAAACAATGGTCATACCAAAATAAACAGCAAAGAGCAAATGGAACAATCCCCTATATGCGAGACTACAGAAAGAGACACGATACAAACCTCTCTTATCGCCGTCCAAGCACAAGAGACTTCTCCTGGAGTGATGGCTCTTACAACCCTAGACACTCACCTAGGCATACAAACTTTGGGAAGGCCCGATCATACCACGGCACGTACTCAAACCAGCATTACACATCCAACGGCAGGTACAGACACCAGGATCCATGGGCTAACCCCAGAACACACTACAATGATGAATTCCCAGCAGAATCATACAGTCGAAACTACAACTATGACTATGGATACCACCCCAATGAAACATGGTAATACCTCGTCTCCTGCTGTTGCTGTTACTGCTGTCGATGTGAAAGTTACTTGTAAATATAATGATAGATTATCTGTCGTACATATAAATGCACAATCCCTGTTATCCCATATACTAGAAATTGAACATAAGCTTGTACAAGAAAATATTGATGTTCTTTGCATTAGCGAATCATGGCTGTATCCGTCAATTAATAATGCATTTATTAATATTCCTTCATATAATATTTATCGCTATGACAGTGGTAGAGGTGGAGGTGTATGTTTATATGTTAAAAATTATTTGAAGGCCACTGAACTAAATCTTGAAACTGAGAAGCACGAAGGAGTGGAAGATAAATGGATCTCTGTCCAACATAAAAAGTTTCCTTCTATTATCATAGGCTGCGTGTACCGCCACCCCAAAGCCTCGGTAACCTCCTTTAGCTATATTTTGGACGTTTTTAAGGAGATAATTTTAAAAAACAAACCAGTTTTTATATATGGCGATTTTAATGATGATCAACTAAAAAGAGAAAATAAAATGAGTAGACTTATTAAGAATTTAAATCTAGAACAGATTATAAATAAACCAACTAGAATCACTCCCACTTCAGTTTCCCAAATCGATCTAGTAATAACAAACTCCAAACATATGATAACTAAGTGTGACGTAATGCCAAGCCCTATAGCAGACCACGAGGAAATTGTAACGTCCCTAAATATTCGCAAACCAAAGAGACAACCAATCTTTAAAACATTCAGATGCTTAAGAAATTATTCACAAGAATTACTTTGTAGTTTACTTATGAATGAAGTACATAAATTAAATGAAATTCTATATACCGATAATATAAATAAACAAGTAAGAATTTTAACCAGTGTCTTATCATCATGTATAGATCGATGTGCACCACTCGTGACAAGAGAAATATTTCGTCCCCCCGCTCCTTGGATAACAGATGACATAAAAAACATTATGAAAGAAAGAGACAAACTACAAAATGAAGTAAAACTACAAAGAGATAATATCCCTTTAAGAGAAAAGTTTACAGAGCATAAGAAACAAGTAAAATCATTATTAAGTAACAGTAAGAAACAGTATTACAAAAAAGAATTTCAAAACGCTAAAGGCAATATCTCTGATACATGGAAAATTGCTAAAACCATGCTTTCCAATAACTGTAATAAAAGTAGTAACATATCAATTATACCCGATGAGGTAGATGTAAGTGCTAAAGCAGAAGAGTTCAATAATTTTTTCGCTGAAGTGGGGAAAAAAACCTTTGAAAAAACAAAAAAAGAAATAATAAATGAAATCAATAATAGTAATGGTGGTAATAATAATGATGATGGTAGTAGTAATAATAATAGAAATGTTGATAATGGTGTAAATAATAATGATGGTGGTAGTAATGGTAATGATAATAGTGATGATGGTAGCAATAATAATAATAATGTAAATTTGGAAGAACATAGTGCATTCAATAGAAGTACTGATGTCTTTAACCCTACTACAGTAGATTGTAATACAGTAATCTTAGTAATAAAAAATCTGAAAGACTCTAATGCATATGGATCAGATGGAATTTGTTTTCGTTTTATTAGAGATTCATTATTTGTAATAGCTTATTATCTGACGGTAATAATCAATACTTCCATAGTTACCAATATCTACCCAGATTTATGGAAAAATCCCCATGTAATTCCTGGTTTTAAAAATGGAAATCCTGACGACGTCTCTAACTATAGACCAATCTCTTTACTACCAATTTTATCAAAGATACTTGAAAAGATTGTTGCAAATCAGTTAAGTGAGTTTCTTGAAAAAAATAAACTTATTGCAAAAAGTCAACACGGTTTCAGGCCAAAATTATCAACTGAAACTGCCTTATTGAAAATATCAGATGAAATATACAAAAATATAGATAATAAGAAAATATCATTGCTACTACTACTCGATCTTTCTAAAGCTTTTGATAGTGTAAACCATAGTATATTATTAGAAAAATGCAAAAAAATGAACATTGACCCAAGCTGGTTCGAGAACTATTTAAAAAACCGCTACCAGTCAGTCAGAATAAAAGATACAGTTTCAAGTTCCAAGAAGGTATTGTTTGGGGTCCCTCAGGGATCGATCCTAGGACCTATACTTTTTCTAATATATGTAAACGATCTAGTAAAATATTTACCTAACTGTTATGTCATTCAATATGCTGACGATACTCAAATCTTAATTGAGGGAGAAATTAATGATTTAGAAAATATTATTCGTAGAGCAGAAGAAATTTTGTATATGGCTAAACGTTACTTTCTAAAAAATGGTCTGTTACTTAATGAAACTAAAACCCAATCTATTCTTATCGGATCCAGACAATTATTATCAGAAGTTGATGACAATCTTCATATAAATTTTAACGGTAATATCATTAAGCCAATGAACTCGGTAAAGAACCTAGGTGTCTATTTTGACCGTTACATGAATTTTGAAATGCATATAGATGAAATTTATAAAAAAGTAATGGGTACTCTAATATATCTAAATAGGGTAAAAGACTCATTTGAAACATCAACTCGTATAATAATTGTCCAGTCCTTAGCTATGAGTTTAATTAATTACTGTCTCAAAGTTTGGGGATGTACAAATAAGACTCAATTACAAAGAATACAAAAGTTACAAAACTTTGCAGCACGAGTGGCTGTTGGCAATGTAAGAAAATACGAGCACATCTCTCCTGTTTTAAAAGATCTAGAATGGATAAAGATTAGAGATAAATATGTTTTTGATATATGTACCTTTGTTTTTAATATACTAAGAAACAATATTCCTGATTGCTTGTATAATTTTTCCACAGTAAGCTCAGTTACCGGGTTAACTACCCGTCAAGGGGAAGATTTATTAGTACGAAGGTCTAAAACTGATATTGGCTCAAGAGATATAAACATTCGTGGACCTCATTTATATAATCAGCTTCCCAGAGAACTAAAAAATGCTGGTTCAGTGTATACTTTTAAATATAATCTTAAGAAGTTACTCTTAAAGGAAGATTTTACTTGTAAATTTTAATTGTACACCCATATTTGAATACCCAATGTATGTTGGAAATAAAGTATTATTATTATTATTATTATTATTATTGTCCTGAATGGAATATCAACAGCAGTATCTCAAGTCTGGCTAATGAGGCAAAAATAATCATCCCTCACAACAGAAATAGACCTGGTCACAATATTTTATGTTGCGTTAAACTCTGATGATGAACAAAATGTAAAAATGAATGGTATGAATTGGCTGCATTAGGGATTGATAATATTTTCGAGTAGGGATCATGGTACGACTTTCTTCTACCCAAATATCCAACATTTGAATGTCATATGCGACCATAATATTCTGGGGACAATAAATTCCAAATGAAGAGAGTGATCTTTTAAAAGGTTCTGGGGACATTTGCTTCTAATTCCAGCTTCGCCCTTTATGAAATTATCAGTAAGCTGTACTTGAACTTTACCTGTCTGTGTTATTTATTTCAGGATTCCTCCTACTATCAAGTTTTGTAACTCGGGTATTGATTTATCGGCCATCATATATATATAAATAAATATCAGTTTTGCCTGTCGTTTTTTTATTTTATTTATCAAATACCAATAAATATGAATATAAAAAACTGACCTCCAGTAGACTTATTTGTCCTACACCTATGTACTTTTAATATAACTATGCTACAGAGTCAATCACAGTGGGAAGTATCTGGACCTCCATTATTAGGACATCACCATGTCACCAAGAATAGCCTATGTAGCGAGTAATATCACAAACATAGCGACAGTCCACTGGAATTTTCTTGTCTAAATGTATTTACCGCTGACTCTATTTATTTAAGTCTCAGACCACATAAACAAGCAAGAAAGTGACTAAACAAATGTATTTTTGTCGAAAATTATGCATGAAATGCCCGTGAAATCTCGCGTATGGATGCCGGGCTCTTTTGCCAAGTCTTCACTCGGTAATAACAGTGTTGCCAGAAATGTGACTCACGCAACAAGCACTCACTTTGGTAATGTGTTGGACCTTGACCGTGGAATATACGCGTCGTGTGTTGGTAACACTGCTATGTGTTTATGTAACTGATATGTATTATACAAAATGCACACATAGATATAAACAGATGGATAAGTATAAACATAGATACAGACCCTGAAATAGATAAATTATTAATAATAATAATAATAATAATAATGGATTGGATTCGGTCTTACGTCACGAACTCCCTTTTCTACTAAGGGCTAGGTAATAATAATAATAATAATAATAATAATAATAATAATAATAATAATAGCTGCAGCAGTGGTAGCAGTAGTAGTTGTATTATACCCTAGGAAATACCTTGATGTCTTTGAACCAAATGTGCGTGAACTTAAGCTATTGATTTTGATATTATTAATGTTTTACAACCTTCCGGACGCCCTCTGAATGGAGTAACTCAGTAGACTGTGTGTATGTACTTACCTAGCTGAATTTAGAGGAAGAAGAATTTCTTGTGATTACAGAGTTCGGTAGTTTTGTAGACTAAATTCTCTCCTTCTTTCTGCGCTATTTCCATTACTATTATTATTATTATTGTTTCCAATTAAGCTACCTCCTACTGTCGGGATTCGAACCCAGGACCTGTTAAACAGAAGTTCACAGCTTAGCACACTGAGCCACAGAGGTGTTAAAAGAGAAACATACGAGACTTCTGCTAAAGTTCCTCAGATGTTTACCGAGGGCACTATTTTACATATTCTTCTCTGTTATTAATATTCTTAATTGCAATATCTATGTTCAAGTAGTTAAATTCGGTCCATACTGAGAAGTGGAATCAAATGTGTATGCTAATAAAGGGCCAGTGGGGAGAGAGGTAAGATTATCAGCGTGGAATAAGACGGTTGTGCCAGCGCACAAAGCTGTGGATTTCTGTTCCACAGGTCGTAGGTTCGAATCCCGGCAGTAGTAAGTAGATTGTTTTGAAACAAACATGCGTAATTGCATTTCATTTGCTTTATCAATTTATATTATTATTATTATTATTCAGGGGCCACGGTAGCCGAGTGGTTACAATACTCGATTTGAGAGTTGACAGACTCGTAATCGAGCCTGCCGTGGGGTGTTAGGAAGGGAATCAAACCTTAATTCCTTAGCCACACTCTCTCTGTATCCACCCCCATAATGGGGATTCATTGTAACACATGAAACGTGTTTATTACTTTTATGATTATTTGTCGTATGACTTCCGTCATGCTGAAGCCAGTCCGCCATGCTGAAGCCAGAATCTGAAACTTGTAACAGATCTTGAGCGGAAACGGTTGGTCGAGGGCACGGATATTTTATTACAATGTTTGTAGAAAGTGCCAAGGAAATATATGACCGGAACCGTGAGACTTAGGATCTGGCATCGAGAAGGGCAAGAAAGGACAGGAAGTTAGCCATTTCCTAAACCTCAAGAAATATAAACAGGTGTTTCGTACGCAGGTACACGCCCAGGAGAGATGCCCAATAACTCCTCCCCGGAAGTAGGTGGGATTCCACTTTGAACCTGGCGCTGATTAGCTGGACTAGATCTGACTGATTTCATTGGAGAATTGGATGTTAAGCCACGCCCTGCCCCTGGGGGTATTTAAAGAGCCACCCAGGGCAGGGACAGTTAGTTAGAACTTTGCCAGGGGCACGAATAGATCATAGATTGTGATAGTCATAGGGTGGGGGCATTGGGGCATTGAGGCGTCGGATGTGTTGTACTCTAGAATAAATATAAGTAAAGGAACTACTGCTTGTCCATTCTTACCTTGTACCCATCAGGTACTAATATTTATAACCTAATAAACCACGCTACCATAATTATAAGTTTATATACGTAGGAGGAAAAGCCCTACGTCAGTGGTGTCATTAGATGGGATAAACAAAACCAATACGTCAGTGGTGACGCTCGGTGAGATAATAATAAAACCTCC